TAAATTAAGCTTCAAAAATATTGGAGCTTAATCGATAAAAATTGGTATTTAGGTGCTTGGTTAGAAATAATAATGAAAATTCAACCTCTAAATATGCGGTTACACGATGCGCCGCGGTGCGATGCAGAGTAATCTTACTAACATCAATGAGGTTGCGACGCCACCCGCGACGTACGGGTCGCAATTGCCGCAAATACACGACGCCGGACAGTGCCGCACCGCACCATAAACGCGTCGTGATTCGTATGACTTTTCACGTAAGGATAAAAAGGACGATAAAAATTGTATACTAAATTTTATGTTTGACATCACGTTTACTTAAAACTATAATTGTAAATGTAATTCTCGCGATCAATTTAGAATAGGTACAGCGGAACTTTGTTAGCAGGGAACTATCCAATAATTGGCGATAAATTCCTTAAATAACGAATACTAGTATGATAACCTGGGATGAAGTATCTGTTCCCAGGTGGCAACATATACAATTTTGAGTTCAATATTTGATTATACATTTTATATTTGATAATAAAAGCGGCGATATCATGGTAAATATCCGTTATAACTGAAAAAATCTCCCTAAATTGATTTACAACAGTCCAACGCGACCGTTCAGAAAATTTAGCTGCCAAAAAAAACGTGACCTGGAGACCTAGTCACGTCCGATCATCCCTCACGCACGTTTTAGTGTACGTGTTACTCCAGTAACATGATTACAAACGAGTTTTATATCTTAGCTAAGATATTTTTAGGTAAAGCCAGTCATTGGTTTTCCGTACATGAAACATAATTCTGTATAAAACTACTTCAGTCGAAGCGGACATAGTCTCCCATAATATATTAATACGTAAATAAAATATATAAGGTACTTAAATAAAATATTATATATATAATGAACAACATATTAACAATATACCTTTGTACCTATTATAAATTGGATAGGAGACATTTTGCATAGTTAAATATACCTTTCCCTCTATTTATAACTGATTCTTGATTATAGTCTATATTTCTGGACCTGAAAAGCATTAGGTCGGATGTCGGGAATCTTAGGCATAACTGTATAAAAACAGAAATAGCTAAATGCAATCAAAATATTTGAAAAAGTCGTCTGATCCGACTTTATGCATGACTGTTGCTCATGAGTAAAAAGGCACAAACATACAAGAGTTAATTTGCCGGAAAGAGAAAAAAGAGTGTAGCAACGTTATGGCGATAAGTGATTTTAGCTGGTTCTGCACATCCGACCTAATGCTTTTCAGGTCCAGATTTCATATCTGACGCTGAGCTTTTTCTTAATTTTGATAACCCAATAAGTTCAAGAAATCGATTTTTAATATATTCAATATTCAAATTTTATATTTTCAAAATTATGTCTTTATGAAATTAGTTTAATTATTTTAATTTTTGTTTGTAACTCCTAAAATATCAGGTAGAAAACGAGAAATAAGTTGAAACTTACGCCAACACAGTGAACGTGTAAACTACAATAATTTACAAAATGAAAGTAACGACTGAGATTTGAATGTAAACTTTCTTGGATAAATAAAAACGACCTCGCACCATGATTACTGACACTGACATAAATGTCGCTGGTATTCAAATAAAAATTGAATAAACAATAGGAGAATTCTATGGCCGCCATTATGTGACCATAATGGGATATTACAGTGACGTCTGAGACGACAAAACAGTTTAATAAACAATTTTCTCGTCAAACATTGAGGTGGCCTACAATAGGCAATTGATAGGGTAGCCACGACAGTCGATTAAATCTCTAAAACAAAACTAAAGTGAAATAAGTGAAAAATTTTAAGAGCTCATGCGCGCTGGTGATTTTTGACGCCGTGACCATTTTGCCGCTTTAGTCAGTTATATAAAAGTCAGTCACCCAAAATGTGTTCAAATACTCGATAAGAGTTCTTAAGCACCTACAGTGACAGTAATCAAAAAGTCATGGTGACAAAAATATTTCTTGGTTTATGTCGATAGACATAACTGAAATAACACTATCTGATTTTATATTATTGGGATTATAGATAAATGTTTATTTTATCTATTTTATTTTAAATCATCTCATTTTAAATATAATAATTTTATTACAAAAAGAATACAGAAGTGAAATTTGAATAAACAAACACAAAAGATAAACGTAATTTCGTTTACCTCCATTACAAATCAATATAATTATTATGAAATATTTATGTTCATCTTTCTTCGGAATTCATGGTCATCCTACTGCGACGAATTTACTCTGAGCGTAGAAGAAGTGACGCGTTAACTGCAGATAAATGTTGTCGTTCGCTCTAACGACACGACGCGTGTGGCCATGGGGGCGTCTGGCTATGAAGTCGGCGATTGGAGAAGCAATAAATCGGATCGAGATATAATTTATTTTGTAAGTTCAAATAACAAGCGAGTAGCACTATAAAGTAGATATCGTATAAGATTGTATCATATACAGAGCACGAGTACGTTATTAATAGAAAAGACCCAGATTTAAGTGAAGACTATGTGTACGATATATGAATATTAAACTAATAAATGTTTTATGTTTACCAGCAAGCCAATTCTACTAATGTTTACGTAATAATCGCATCTCAATAGATTCTCAATATTTTTGCCATTTTTGAAGTCCAATTATAAGCATTAATAATATTGGACTTTAGGTACATAGTATAATGGTAAATGCAAGCATTGCCTGCTGGTAAACATAAAAAAATTATAAATTCAACTTTCAGATATCGTACACATAGTCTTCACTTAAATTAAGACGTTTTATCTTACAAAACTTTATAAGCTGCGCAGAAATTCGCTCATTTTGCAGCCTCACGTGGCGTCTGTCGTCCAATTGATCGAGTGTGATACTCTATTTCCTTCTTCCTATAATATAAATCATAGTGGAGTGTTGAAAACTTTTGTTGCATAACGGGTCCATCCGTGACCATTATAATATTGAAACGAAATGTTTGTATAAGTCATAGCGTTGTATTTGTCATATTCTCACCACTTTTGGTGTTAGGCCGCCAAATTCTAGGGCAATATGATAAATTTAGTACCTCATAAAGTTCCTAGTCGGATTGTGTTAACTCGAATTGACGTCCCATTTGCGTCTAATTACAACTCCGTTAATGTGTTTCGAAAAGTGATAACAGTCAAACAACATGTTCATCTTATTAACGGTGGGCTTAGTCTAATTTTAATACCTATTGAAATCTCTTTGAAAGGTAAACTTGTTATGATAGCGATATAACTTTTAAATTTTAGACTTAATATTTTAATGATCAAGAAACTTAATACAAACTTAAATAAATACGTCGAAAGATTGCATTTCGTTCGACATTTCTAAAGATATGAGATATATTTAAAAGATAGTGCATGATAATAATAATAATAATCTTGTTTTTGTCTTTACACTATAGTACACTATAAATGGAAACAAAATTATAAGTTCAGCCCATTAAGCCATCAACAACAAACACCATGTAAATAAAAGATCATCATCATCATCAGCCCTTTTACGTCCCCACTGCAGGGGTTCAGGCCTTCCTTATGGATGGTTAAGGAGGATGGGCCATGACCCTCCACGCTGGCCCAATGCGGATTGGAGGGTATTAACGACTGCAAATGCAGCCGGGACCAACGGCTTAACGTGCCTAGAAGCCATAGTGCCTTTAAATAAAAGATAGTACATTAAAATTATAAAGTGATATATCCAATATTAAAATGATTAAAATATAAAACAATTAAAATATTCTTTTTTTTAAATTTATATTCACATAATGACAAATTACTCCAAAAAGCGCTATCACAATTGCTATACCTTTTAAGGCGTTGCGATAGATATCGAAATTAGACCACAGGCAGGTGTGAAAATTACGTTTGTTGGAAGTTTAAAAGAGGTTTTAACGAGTAGCCTCGTACATAATTAAACCATAATGTGTTATTATGGATAATATCAAACGTTAGTATTTACATTTAATTATGCATCGTACGTACTTTAAATACATATATTTACTAATTATTAGCTCTCATTTACGATTAATCGTAATCACATAATCTCAGACGTGTACACTGGCGCTTTTTAAAAGCTCTGTATATTTGACTTCAAAGTCACGTTTTAATACCCATTATATTTCAAAGCTATAAAATTTTGTTTCAGATTTTCTTTAACTGATTAAATATTGAGTTAAATTTTATTTCAAAAAATCTGCATTCAAAACTCGCCAGTATAAAAACCTTATAGGGAGAGTACATCATCGCCAATTGCCAAACGCACATCTTATTAAATACGCACACATATTTTGTCAAAGGTATAATTTACAAAAGGTAGGTAAATGATATGAGATAATTGCAGACTATTGGAGAGATCCCGATAGAGATATGATGGCAATTTGTTTTGTATTGCCATATGTCTCCTATTCTGTTTTTACCGAATAGCAAGTGCACCGTAACTTCACTGTATAATGTTTTTGAGCGCCGTTATTGGAGCGTTGATGTTCTAATTTCATACACAAGACCTTAATATTATATTTTATATCATAGTGCAAAGTGTAATTTTACTGTATATTGTTTTTGACCGCTATTATTGGAGCGATCGTGTGCTAATTTCATACATAGAACCTTTATATTATGTCTCATTTTCGTGTGATAGGTTCTACTGTGCTAAAAAAAATGTTTAATGCTGCGTAGCGATACTTTCTTGCAGCTTTCTTGTGCTGATCTGGTTTACACTTAAATCTTTAATGTGTGTGTGTTTTTTTTTTCTTACGGCTGAGTAAAAGTTAATAGTAAATAATATAGCAAAAAAATTGTAATGCCATATTTAAATACTTCTTACTATTTTATTATGTAGTAAACAAACTGTAGGTATGTCAATAAAAATCAGTCGTCGATTTCCGGATACAGTAATTGCAATCTATTTATACAAAACTTATTTCTTTTTTAACTTCAATCTTAGTAACGTAATTAACTAAGAAAATTGTGTCATTATTATATTTTCTGTATATTATTGTAATGAGTAGCTTTATTTGTGATCAGAACACCAACGCCATCTATTTATTGTCCTTCGAAATTAAAGACGTGATGTAATTTCGCGAACACTACAATAGTCTGCACCGACGCTAAAGGAACACAGTCAATTCTTACATCTATTCATATAGGAAGGTTTATATACAACTCTCTTGAACTCTGTGTGATGTAGTAACCACCTCTGGTCGTAGTCGATGGGCCGTCAGTGATGACATCACACCCCCCGCAGAGCCTGGGCTGCACGCGTTCACTCCTTTGTTAACACGTCCTAAACTATGATATGACTGTAACAAAATAAATGACTTGTCAATATTGTCTTTTTAAATTGTATTGTAAGGGGCCCACGACAATTAAGGCCCGCCTTGTAATGTGCTAAAATATTTGTATTCCTTTTCAAACGTTACTCACACATACAAAACACGGAATATTTCGATAGATACACCGTGTTATGTATGTGTTATCAATATACGAGTAAAGTGTGAAGACGAAATAAATATTTTAGCACGAAATGTTAAATGAGAACATTATTACAACGCGGACCTTAATTGCCAAAGGTACCTTATTCTCTATTGATATTTAGTTGGAACTTATTCATATTATTTTTTGTTTAATTGCTTCGAATACTCCGTAACTATTGGACAAATTAGAATAAAATTCACCTACAGAAAGCTACATAATTCGCGGTTGACATAAGTACGAGTATAATATATGCGCACGAAGTCCAAAGCAAAAACTTCAAATATCTACATTAGCCGTAAAGACAATGCTGTTTCAAAACGTCTTTGTTTTGAAATCCCCTGGTCTTCCCAACTGGTATAATTAATACTATTAAAGACGCCTGGTAACCTAGGCACAACAACAGTTAGCTCGTTTTTATTTTAATTAGATATAAGAAGATATTTTTAATATGATGAAAGCCTTAGGGAAAGTCAGAATTCAATTCTATGCCTAACCATTCTCGATTCCGCAAATTTTCTTGCCGTATATATTATTTGAAGATTTCTGCCTTATTTCCTTCCTTAACATATTTTATTGAGGTCCACTTATTAATTTCTATTTTTATAAATATATTACAAAATAAAGTTATGTATAAAAGTTCGTTCTCGTATAATTTCTCATATCGAAATATAATCGTATCTGAACAATTGTTTTAAGTAAGTTTATCAAATTTATTGTATTTAGAGCTTTCAAGCCTGAAACTTCATCACCTAATAGTATTTTGAGTTGAGTTATCGTTGGACTTTAATCCAACTTAAGGAACAGTTCTCAGTCAAGCTAAAATTGATACAAGGAATGTTTCGTTAAACATACTTACGCTAGTTAAAGGTATTCTATAGTCTTTCTTCTTGAATTCCGTATAGTAACCGCCGTCCGGCTCGGAACGAGCATCCTCACCCGGTTTCGGCAATTTACCAGTCGAAGGCGGGCGCTGCAAACTCATGTAACCGTTGGATACCGGCCGTCGTTCTAAAAAATAATACCCTCTCTAATATCTGCACAAAGTTTTAAACAAAGTAGATTAAATAATCGACTCATAAAATTAGGGCAACTATGTTGTTGATATCGAAATGAATCAATCGTGTGCTGATGCGTGTGTGTGTACGCAGTTGACGCATCTGCTACAGATGTTAAACTCAGAGTATTTTTTTTTTATAATGTTTCAATTGAATAATTTCAATTTCGTTTGATAATCAAGCAATTATGGCGCAATACCTCATCCTGAATTTTAGTAAGATATCATGGACTCAGTTAGTGAGTAAATGTTATAAAAACTCACCATACAAACAAGGTATGATATCTGGGTCAGCATCGTCCACGTCTTTTGGGTCAGGTGCGTGTAACAGTGCACCTCTGGCTCCGAATCCATCGCGTGGCTCAGTACTGCTACCACGAGATTCGACCTCGTGCTTTACTGGAGTCGGGCAGTGGCTGGTGCGCTCCACATACATAGCCTCACTGTTAAACGCATTATCTCTATAGAAATGTAGAACCACTAAAGACTGTTTGTGGCTATCTCATGACATAAAATTTAATAAAATCTTTGTAGAGTAAAAGGCTATCCAACGACTACTTTTTCGATATTTACACGCAGAAACATCCAAGATTGATTTACGATAAATATAATATGGAAACAGGAAAATTCATGAAATTGTCTGTTAACAATTAATAACAATTGTCTGTTATTCTGATTTTTCAGTTTTTACAAAAAACACGTGAACAAGACATGATATCACTAAATAATGTTTTACAAGTTATGTTCAATGTACACTTACGAAGAAGTTGTAGAAAATTGTTTTCTTCACACTATTAAATATAAGTAAAAAGTATTCACATGCCACATTTACCTTAGTGGTGCATGTTTGGCTGGCATATGTCGATGCCTCGCAGCATGTCTGCGATACAATACGGCTAAAACACCGCAAACAGCGGTCGCTAAAAGTGCAGACATGGCTGCTATAGACGCCAGCACCGGTGATATTCCAAGGGTGTTGCTCTCTCCTACGAAATAAATACAAATCGCGATGTCAATAATAAAGCACGTTTATCTAAACATATAACAAATATCGCGATAAATATCACAAAAGGTAAAATCGTCTTAAATATTATAAATAGGCAATATAAAATAATATTTGATTAAAATAAACGCAAGCACCAACAGATATCAATGTAAAAACCGGCGAACTCGCACGAAGGGTTCCGCACCAAGCAAAAAATCACGTTTGTTGTATGAGAGCCCCCTTAAATACAAGAAATACATCATTTGTGAAATTTTCAACTGCCTGACTTTCACGGCTAATGAGATACAGCCTGGTGACAGACAGCAGTCTTAGTGATAGGGTTCTAGTTTAACCCTAAAAACTGCAAAAGAAATAGATCTTTGCCTATTTTATTGAAAACTTATAAGCAGTATGATTAAAAAAGAAATTGTACGGAAGCCTCTTAGCGAGAGTTCGACTCGCTTTAAGTTGATTTTTTTTAGTGACACATGTATATACCATCAATTATCTCGTTTATTCATTCATCACATTAGATAGATACATAGATGAACTCTTTATTGCTCACACACAAATGATAAGTTTACAGTAAGTTTCTTAATTCTAGTGAGTAAAGATCGTCTTATCGCTAAAATCTCTTCCAACCCTTATGTTAAAGGACACCTGACTGAAGGATGTAGTAGTGTGAAAGTAAATAATGATAAGATATTATACTATTGCAAATTTAGTACTATAATATATAAAATAGACCACTAATATGCGTTAACTATAAACTACATACTCTACATATACATAAAAATATGTTTCTGGAGTCCTGAATCACTTACATTAAATTGTACTGCATTGTACCTAAGCACACGCTTAGTTCAAAACATCTGATAAAATTAAGTCTTCAAATTTCCGACGGGAAAATTGATACAACTTCTTTAATTAATTCAGATTCACAAACGGGGATGACGCAAAGTTATGGACTCAAAAGCTGTTTTACAATTCCCTGACTCGTTGATAGTACAAGCGAATGTTTTATTTACGTCCTTCCTCCCCCCCTTGTGTATTTGGAATGTTTTTCGGGTGATTACAAAAGTTGTGTTTCCGAAGTTCAACTTTGTAATCCCGAATGTATTAGGACGTGATATTTATATTGTTCTTTATTCTAGATTCGTTGTAATAACCAGTAAAAAGCTGTCTAAGTTTGTCTTGATAAAAAAAATGTGAAAATATTTTAATTCTTCAGAAATTGGTATTTTATTCACTTGATAAATAAATATCAGACAACATCACATACATTGCTCAGATTCCAAAATGAGTAGCTAAAGCACTAGTATTAGGACGTATCTGAGACAACTAAGGTACCGCAACACCCAGATTCGAGAAAATATAGAAAAGTCTATTATCTACACTGACGCAACCAGGAATAGACACTGGAAACCCAGAGATAGCGACATCTCGAAACCGGCTTGCGAACCGTTCGGCTGCGGAGGAACAAAAAATCTTATAAATAACATTTATAAGATTTTTTCTTATTATCATTGAACATTTTTTGGAATTCTTTACACACAACGAAATGTAATAATCTATATTACTTCGGAAGCGATGAAGAGATATATTGTGTTTATCTTGCCATGGTAGAACAGACTTATACATATTATTAAATAAGCTGTGTGGTACTGAGAAATTTTTCACTAAAGTCCTGTAAAACATTAATTCTATGATGTCTAGATGTAAGCACTTCTGGCAATAAAGATATTGAACATATAGCAATGCTTGATTCAGAACAGCACTACAATTTGAATACAGAACAACTTGTTTTTTTTTTTCACTAGGCTTCCTTACGTATTGGCTGGTATATGTCTTTGCTAATCTCTTAAAAAAGTTCACTTTTATTACTTAAAATATAAATAGCAAAAATACTTATAAAAATGACCGTATAGATTTCTTTTAATTTTTCATTGTTACAACAAAACTACGTAACACCTTATTTATAAATGTAGGTCAACCAACTCCGATATTAAAATTTGAATATCTTCTAATAATATTGTAGAGAAAGCTGAAAACAATATAAGCAGGAATTACGCCGTTATACTTCCACTAGTTTTGCATTGGAGTAGCACATTGCAAATTAAGTAATTTTATTCTGCGATGATGGCGTGACGGCTAAGTCATTATTACCTCGAGGTAATGTAGTTTAAACATAATAAAAGATCAACTTCACGAACTCTAGTAGAAAAGCATTGTTCCAATTCATTAATTCAAATAACGGTCTAGATTTCGTTTACAACGTATGCCGCAGTGCCGTACAATAACAGCACATTGGGTAGTTTTAAATTTTTTACTTTCATCTCTTAGCTTTAAGGCCATTGACCACAAAAATTCACATCCTGAAGTCGCCAACTGTGTTATGTCATGTGTATTAACTATCATTAAGGGGCAATCAGGACGGTTTTTCACTAAAATAAAATTGATTTTGAATAAAATAAATAGTTAAAATAAAATAAAATAAATAATGTTCGAATAAACATAGCACATAATCATATTTGTTAATAATAATAATAGACAAAACAAATTGTTCACTTTTAAGATAAATATACATATCAGTAAGAAAAAATAATATGTTGAATTGAATATCGTTGAAGTTTCGAAGATTTTTTTTTTAATCTTTTATTATTATATGAGTTGAAAAATTTATTAGTCGATACGATACGATTCAATTAATACTAATCGCAATGCTATAGGTTTCTTTTATTTCTTTGTTTATTAACATTCATTATTTTTCTAGCTTCAATCTTTATTCCGGGATTTATTTCTATATTATATAACACAGAAATATATTAAGAATAAAAAGTATATCTTTGTTGTTTATCTACGTTAGGGTTAACAATATGCACTTTATGACATACAATAGCTATATTATCAAATTGATTCATCGTGTCAATCTTACCAGTAAATTTTGCTTGCCCTTTTAAGGTGACGGTTTCGATAGTAGTGACATCACTCCTCCCTTTTGCGTTCACGGCGTACAAGTCTATTCGGTAGGTGACACCTGGCGGAAGTCCACGGATTTCAAAGTATGGTGGTGTTCGATTCGTGGAAACATTGTAGCGAACCTGTACAAAGAACTGTGACTTAAACCCTTAAGAACTGGAGGAAAGAAACTAAATATGGATATATATTGTAATACTGATATAACTTTTAAATAATTCTATAAATTCATATTGGAACACTTTGAGATATGTCAAGCTAATCTGTGAACCGATCGTGAATTTCTTTATCTTATTGGTAATTTACAAATCCTCTATTAGATACGAGTCATATAGATAGTTTTACAGGCTAGTTATGATATTATTATTTAATAAGGTAAAATATTATATTATTAATAAATTATTTCTATGAAATTCAAGGTTTACTTAATCATAACCACCATGGCACAATATAAACCACTTTTACTATTTAGTTTATTTAACTTATATTAATTTTAAATTGAAATCTTGAAATTATTTTAATTTTATGTTATTTTCACGGATCTCAATTCAAATAAGAATAATGCTTTTGCTAGTTTACACACATTACAATGTGAATGACTTAAATAACCAACTCCATGTGGCTCAAAATTACCGCTATATAAAATCCATCTAAGTTTATAAAGAATGACTTGTCCATTAACAAAAGTTATCTTTAAAATGCTAATGGAAGAACCTCAGAAAAGTGCCATTACCAATTTACAATGTCCTCATATACACACAAAGGATATAAGGGTGTTACATTGTACGATACTAACAAACTTCTAAAATATGATTATGAGTTTCCAAACTCGAACATATTCAGAACTACTTTAGATTCTCCCTTAACTCGGTTGTGTAGCAGAAAATCTGATGGAACTTGTAGAAGGGCAAAACTTTTTAATTTGAGAAACGGATCTAAGCAAATGTTTTTATGGTTTTATTTCATTTCAGCCTGTAAAGAGTTTTGAAGAGAGATAAAAAGAAGCTATATAAACGTTAAAGTCTTCGCTCATCGTGAAATAAAAAGGATAGATTACCTGAAACATCTATTCGGGGTTACTATATATATATATATATATATATATATATATACTATATTACGGTAAATATTTACCTGTATAGCATTTTGAATGCAAAATTAATCAAATATAATAATCTATTGATGTCTTAAAATTTAAATTTGTTTATATTATAAAAAACAATCATCACACGGTCAGTGGTCATTAAGTAAGAACGTACTTCATAAATCATCTGAACCGTCTAATCTAAAAATAATTAATGAAAATACAAAATTCTTTAGAACTTGTTCAAGATTTCTTTGATTGATACTATTTATGTCAAGTTTATTTGTTAAAAAGTTTTATTTTGTCTCAGCGAGCGCTTCTAATTAAGACAGTAGCGACTGTAGCGGTCCTTATAAAAAATATAAATCTTTTCTTAAACTTGTTATGTAACTTAAAAAAACAGTATCATCGAGTTGTTCTCTATTTAGATTTATATGATAAATATCACAAATTAATTGTGGGACACGTTTCCAATGATTATATTATTTTTATCAAGCATAAGTATAAAAATAATTATTGCAAAGATATAGACTTACAAACTACGTATTACATATATAACAAGATATCGATAATTTTTAAACATTCGATATGAGACAATGATGATTAATAGTAATCAGTTGACAAATCAATTACTATAATATTAGTTTATATTATAAATTATGACTGAGTATTAGACTCAGTCAAACCTCACAGTTCACGTTTATGCCAGAACTGAGTTGAGTTTAAGACGTGAAAATCGGTTATGACCAGATTTATTAGAGTACCGTTTTATAAGAGATATAAAATGTGTTTGTGTGAGTATCAAACAACAAATGTGTACTTGCCCAATCTCTAACTTTTATAAATACTCACCGTCAACGAAGGTAGTTCTAATAATTCCATGAGGAAAGTCTGTGGGAGTCCACCGTCAAAGTTCTCTACGCACTCCACAAAAATAGAATCGATACTTTGGTTAGCGACTGAGCAATTTTGCAGATGGAACGGCCGACCTTTGACAAAATAAAATTACATTAACAAACTTTAAAGTTTCAGGAATAGCGGGAAAGTGGGACTATTGACTTTTTTTATATCAAAGCACTTTAAAAATGAAATTAGTATTTTTTCATTATTTGTCAATTCACACAAAAAAAATCGTACGGAGTACAAATATATATCATTGGAAATGTTAGTTTCCTAAGGGTTATACTCTGATAATCAATTTTCGTCATATCTCTGCACCACGCTCTGTCCTACTTTATGGCACCAGAAATATTTGAACAGTGAGAATATATCCACTTTCAATTTTGAGAGTACAAGACCAGATAGCATGAATATTTCATACGAATTATTTCGGCCTCAATAATTTTCGAACTAAAAAATCTTAGGAACTTTGTAAAAACTAATTATCGTTAACAAGGCTGTACATAGATTACTCACCAGCAGCTACTAACTGAAACAGACAAGGAACCTTTTGTTGACCAACGACGTTAGCTCCAAAACATGCCAATGTTCCATACTCCATATCCGTAGTGGGTGTATAATTGAGAGTCGAAGTATGACCATGACTGCTGTATAACCTGAACAATAATTTATGGGAGTAAACTAAAATAGAATTGGCATCAACAAAAAAAAATTACTTCATTGAATTCTTAAATTTAAAAAAAGGCAGCTCCTTATAACATTTATATACCCTATTTTATACTAAGTATTTTCAAATATAAGACAACTAAACAACATCACATATATTGCTTAAATCCCGACTAAGTAGTTTTAACACTTGTGTGAAAATCGGAAACAATGAAGTAGCCACATCACCCATACCGGAAGCAATATAGGAACATTTATTAAATTTCACGACCGGGAATCGAACCCAGAACTTCAGAAATTGCGACGCATTGAAATTAGAGTGCGAGTCACTCACCACATTTTTATTGAAATAAAGTAAGATAGTTGTATTCCAAAATCATCTTTCATTCTAACGAAGCCTTGAATGTCAATGTAATTACATGATCATCAAACATTCAAAACAGTACGAAGTAACTATAATTTACTGCACTAATTAGAGTTCAATTTACCGTGGCGGTATTTCTGTCTGTTCCCCAGAGTTATTGAAGGTCCAGTGGAAGGAGACTAGAGCGGGATTGGCATCGACAGAACAGTGTAATGAAACAGTCTCGTGTTTCAAAGCGCCGAATAGTTCACCGTCCCTCCTCTCGGCACAGACAGGAGCATCTATTGAAGGACATTAGCAGTTATACGATTCATTTAAACCTCGTGTTACGTTTACTTGATTAATCAATGACATCACGATAAATGATAGTATACAATCTATTAACGTATTCATTATTTATAAATTGTTTTTGTTTGTAACGTCATGAGAATTATATATTACTAGTGGACGCCCGCGACTTCGTCCGCGTGGAAGTCGGTATCCCGTGGGAGTGAGAAGTTTTCCCAGTAAAAAGTACCCTATGTGTTATTCTGATGTATAACCTATATTGCTGTAAAGTTTTATCCAAATCCGTCCAGTAGTTTTTTCGTGAAAGAGTAACAAACATCCATACATCCATACTTACAAACTTTCGCCTTTATAATATTAATAGGATTCTTAAACCATTGCACTTAAACACACACACTCGTATCTAATCTCCTGACAGTCGAGAGAATTAATTATAGAACTTAGGCAAATATTTTTAACAAATAAACGAGACTTTGAATGAAGTAAGAATTTGTTGTTGTTGACAATTCCCACTTTATACCAATTCTCGTCAATTGAAAAAGAATGCATAAGTGTGAGTGCATTTGTTGATTTTGTGATTCACGAGAAACTTGTGATATCTAAGCAAACTATTCGATTTAATTTGAATGTTTCAATAGCATCTTTTGACTATCTTCCTCACGTTTTGTAATCACTTGACAGTGTATATGTAATAATATATATAAGAACTGAACCTGAAGTGTCTTTTAATAAGAAGCACTTTTAGTTCGCAATAAAAAACGACAAGAACTCCCGGTTAAGTTATAATGACGAGGTCAAACTCAGCTAAAATAACAGAAGAAACTATCAAAGTTTAACGCAGATTGATATCTTTAACTTTGCCTTGAAATCCCCACTGAAATTTTGACTTGGAAGATAATTACTTTGACTTAATGAGAAAATTTATAGCTCGGGGACATTGGAAATGCCTCGTAATAAATGTTACATTTTATACTTTGACGCCAACACAGGATAATTAGTCTGAATAATGCCTCTAGGGTAATAACCATTTCAAACTAGACTTAAAGAAAATACAATAGACGATTTCTAACGAAGCTGGTAACAAACTTGTTAGTTGTTTACGTAATTGAACGAAATTTTCATAAACAATCAATTTTGATTTCTTTTTATTCCAAAGAATGATTGTCTACATATATATAAATCAGGTCATAAACTTATTAATTAATAAACGGTAAGTTGCACAAACGTCCATTAAGGTTAATGACGCCTTTAAGCACTTTAAAGTAATGAAAATTTTAATGGACGTTTGTGCAACTGGCTGAAAATCAATTAACATTTCTTTATTCAATCTTTAGTGATATATCTTTTTAGCAAACATTAAAGCGCGGTAGTTAGACCTCTTGGTTAATTCATTTGTTTGCAGGAGGGCAGGGTATAGGACAGATATCTTGCATTTGCAGATACTGTGTTTACTGGATGTTAATTGCAATGAACTTCAGTACATATCAATTAATAATAAATAAAATAATATATAATGATAATATTAGCATAGCACTTTTCCTGCAGTAAATATTGAATAATTCACACGTACATCGGACAAGTAGTGTGACAGGATTACTGGTTCCTTTCCCTTCACTATTAGCAGCCATACATGTATAGTCCCCAGCCGCAGCTCTCGTCACCTTTTGCAGAACTAAACTCTGTGCACTGAGAATTATTCCAGCTGTCTCATTATGGAAAATCTCGTTGTTCTGTGAACAAATATTTTATAATTAATAAAAGTTCATTGTGGTTTCGTATCATTCTTGTTGACAATATCAGACCCAATAACATTGTAAGTCAAGAAAAAGTCTTAAGACTATTTTGAGTACAACATTACTTAATTCATCAAAACATCTTTTAAGGTACTATTAGATTGTAATGTATTGGTTACTCAATTTATCACAGCAGACATTCTCAAAGTTGATACATACTTATTACAAATAATTGTCCAAATCATTAATAGTCCTATTGTCTCAAAACAAAACATATCGTAATAAAAATATTCTGCAATCAATCAATCAAAATGTATATTTGCATGAATATAAAAAGAACACTATTGTAACATAAATTTAAAGACCTTTTTATATGTACATATAAATAAAAACAACAATATTATCGATTTTTTTCATGATTGTTTGCTTTTTGTGTTAGGTTTGGGACGGTGCATGTTCAAAGGAAACCTATCAACACTAATAAACAATCTCTTCAATAAAATTAAATCCGTGTCCCACGAATGCACCTTATACACTGGACCGCAAAGAAAACGGGTCGGTTAGAAAATCTTCAATAACTTGAAAACTACCTCACCTAGCTTTATGAAATAAAAACTCAATTAAAGAATATTTAATGTTATTTAACATAGTATATAAAACCTTTTTATTTACTTTAGATAATTGTGTAAGAAAACTGGCAATGAAGATAATGGTTGTTTTTCAATTTAGTTCTAAAAAAATCAAAGCATTTGTTTCGCATTTGTTTTAGTTTTGACATAAAAACTACAATAAATATCGTGTGTTTGTCATACAAAAATTGTATTCTGAAGTCATCATGTCGTTAACCCCTGAAGAATGCACCAGGATCCTGACAATGCTTGAAGATGGGCGCAGTCAGCGCAATACAGCGAGAACTGTTGGTGTGAGTCTTTCCACAGTTCAGCGGGTACTCCAGCGTTTCCATGAAACTGGATCCAACCTAAGAAGACCAGGAACAGGCCGAACGAGGTGCACGACTGCGCGGGAGGATCGCTATATGGTGTCAACAATTTTGAGAAATCGATTTCTTACGGCCGTTGAGGTAAAAAATCACCATTTACGAGCTGGAGGAAACTATCTGAGTACAGATACAGTAAGGCGACGTCTGGCTGAAGCAAATTTGAGACCATTAAGGCCTGCAAATGGCCCAAAATTAGAAAGACACCACTTAAACTCAAGGCTGAGTTATAGCAGAGAACACGAAACTTGGACTCTGGATGACTGGTCAAGAGTTATGTTTTCAGACGAGTCTAGATTCTGTTTATACAAGCACGATGGGAGGAAAAGAGTGTACCGAAGACCGGGAGAGCGCTATAACCAAGCTTGTATAGAAGAAAAAGTACCATATGGCGGTGGCTCTATACACGTGTGGGCTGGGATTTCTTCCGAAAGCCGTACTGAGCTAGTAGTGATAGAAAATGGCAGTTTAACAGCAGAACGATATGTGAATGAAATTCTTAATGACAATGTTGGTCCATTTTTAGTAGATATGGGCGAAAATGCTGTTTTTATGCAAGACAACGCCCGCCCGCATACAGCTCAGATAGTGTTCGACTATTTTCACGAAGTAGGTATCACATGCATGGAGTGGCCAGCACGAAGCCCCGACTTAAACCCCATCGAACATGCATGGGAGGAACTGGGACGACGTGTACGTCAACGGAATCCGCCGCCAATCACGCTGCGTGAATTGAAAGGAGCTTTGATCGAGGAATGGCAGAACATTCCGCAGCATCGCCTTAAAAACCTTGTGGAAGGTATGCCGAATCGCATAGCCGCAGTTTTGCAAGCTCGTGGAGGCAACACGAAATACTAACATGCGTAAAAACGTCACATCTTTATACAATTCATATTTACGAAAATGTCAGAAAAACTACCTTTTTCATTCGTTTGACATTTATTGAAAATAGACAACTTTTAATTTGTATTTTTTTATATTCAATAAATTACAATTAAATAATCTTTAATTTAGTTTTTATTTCATAAAAATAAGTTAAGTAGTTTTCAAGATATTGACGATTTTCTAACCGACCCGTTGTCTTTGCGGTCCAGTGTATATTATATTTATATCTAGCTCAGCATTCTTTTCAGATATAAACATATGCCGATTACCGGCTATACTTAGACGCAGAGGTCAAAAAATATACCGGTATTATAGACTCAAATAAAATCAAAAATATAGGACATATCAAGGCCGAAAAATTATATATTTTTATAATAAATAAATATTAGACAAATACATTCAAATAAAATAAATAGAATAACTTATCAGCTTGGACTCAAATTTTAGGTAGCAAGTTTGGCTAGCACACAACCCAAGATAGTTTTTAATTTCTCTTACTTAATTCATAAGATTAGATAGCTTTGCTTAAAACCAAATTAGCGTTGTTTTTCTAAATCAAACAATTCAAAGTCGACGTGAATAATTCGAACTACAAAATCATAACTTCTATAACATTGTTATCTATGTAAAATTGTTCTTGCCTGTACACCATGAAATTAAGTCATAAAAATGTTATTAATCCGTAGGCGAGATTGTGGCTCCAACCCACGCTAATATAGCTGAATAAGAGGTCAATCAATCACCTCAGTGAAGTTATGCACGACAACCAGATTATGCTTCCTTTTACGGCTACATATCTTAATGCGTTCCGCACCATCAATAGATTATTGTCAATAACTTAACGTACATACGCAACTACGTAACGTTTATGTCAAAGTGAAATTATGATATTGAAATAACGATGTGTAATTTATAAGTTTGAAGTAACTCTATTAAACATAGTCTTATTTAAACGATAATGGTATAAATCTGGTCGTTGTATTATCAGACGATTCGAGTATCTAACAATAAGTTTTTATTTAAACAATAATTTTGGATTAAAGTATTACTAAAATAAATAGATGTAATATATTTTTCCACTTGGTCCCTGTATTGAATATGATAAAAACTTTGTAATCGTAAAATATTTTTTATTATTTACATAATAGCATAAAAAGTAGTAGTAATTTACCTCATCTGCGTGTTAGAATAAAACAGTCAGAAAAGTCAGTACAAATATAACGAATAGAAAACAAAGCAATGACAAACAATATTATAAGAATAAAAGCTTACTTTTACATTTTTTAATGTATTTGTAACATAAATTACTACTTTTTCGGATCTACAACATTTCAGACTTTGAGGAACTTCTAAAATTTTAAAAACATTAAAAGTTTATTGAATAAATATATCAACTTTGAGCAGAGTTTTAAATATATAATCATAACAATGTACAACATTATTCAAACACTGATTAATGGAAATATGTAGGTAATATTGTAAGAGTTTTTCACGAGCTAAACAACTGTAATACCCATCTAACTATGGGCGGATTCGAAACATCTCCAATCAAACGCAACCAAGCAAACACTTGTCAATATCGGCCCTCCGTTCCAATTCCAGCTAAATAAACGCCTTTAGACTACAAACCGGAAAACAGCGCGGCGTCACGAGGGCGACAAGACGTGATGAGGCAGTGAGCGGCGAAATGAACATGAGCGAAGGCCCATCAAGATAGTTTTATACCGACGTAGCGAAGGAGAGATTGAAAAAATAAAGGCGTGGAATATTTTATAGCGACGCGGCTTCTCCTTTCGATCTTACAGGAAAAAATTGTTATCAGCAGAGCAATTCTATAAAAATGCGAACTCGATTTAACAGATGACAGAAGTCACGAAAACCAAATCGCTTAACCTTAAAATTGTGTTCTCTGTACGTTTTGTGGTATTATCAATACTCTATGGTATTGTCACGTACACGTGAAGCCACTTTCGAAATGACATAGGGATGAAAAATATATGAAACGAATTAACCATGTTTTGTATTCATATCTACCAAACAAAAGGGAATCAAAAGAATATTATACATTAATGTATCTCAATGAAATAGTTTGATCTACATTATAAGTACGTTACTTATCTTGAAAAAATATTAAATAAAAGAAATGTTGATATGGTAATGCGGATTCAGCTTTGTTATGTTCGAAATGAATTTATAGAATTGCACGGCAGTGCGTAATAATATATATGAAGATATTTTTAATTTTTACTTAAATGATTTATTTTAAGTTAAATATTCACTAACTATATCATGTTCATTGTAATACTTGTAAACAAGCTTTATGTGTATTTAACAAAAACATTCTTAACGCTTCACATTTAAAACCGATCTACTAACATTACTAAGTATCTGTTTATTGAAACAGAAACAAAGTCAAGTATTCTTAAGATACTTGCTTCATCCAGTGTAATCTAATAATTGTTTTGCTAATGGTATTGGATCACTTACATCGTGGAACCACACTAGCCGATGCGTCTTAGGATTAGCCTTGACGCTGCACTCGAAGTATACACCGTCGCCTTCCTTGATCTCATCCGGATTGAGGTTAGAACCCATCCTCAGGTCTACGACGGGGACATCTGCGATAGACGTTTAGCCGTTAAGCTAGTTTGAATAATTAATCTTCACTAAGGTTTCAAAGTTCAGTTACTATGACATTTTGAAATTTACTAATAAACCAAATTAATTTTTCAACACTTACTAGAGCTTCTATTAATGCTTAAAACGTAAATATTCATAGTAAATTGCTAGTACATAAATAAGAGCTTATAATATTTTATGTATAATATAATAAATAACAAAAAACATCCATTCATAAGTAAGTTTTAAAATAATGTAATATTGCATTAATATTTTAATTAAACAACCTTATCAAGGTTAAGTGTATATTTAAAATAATTATTCTACGTAGCTATGTATTTTGACGAGTAAATAATAACTAGCCATTCTAAAAACAATAGATTTATGTATTGTTTTATCAAATGATTTAAATTGTAATACAAATCAATCCCCCAGATATCCATGTTAAAAGCTCGTAAAATAACTGTGCAGTATACTGATAAAAGAACAAAGTATCAAACAATACAGTTCTAGAACACTCACAATGAACATTCAACCGCCACTTGTCTTCTATAGCCGAGTCCTTTATCTTGGGGTTCTCGGCCCGACACGTCAAATACTTCCCGTCGTCCTCCATGCTTGGCACTAAGCTCAAAATGCTTAGTGTTTCGTTATTTTCAGAAAACTGCAACAGCGAAATGAACTTTAGATCGTACACGAACGGTTCAGATTTAGAATGGAGTAAGTTTCCAGTATTGTATCGTGCCATTTTTCAAATTTAATCTGGATCTAAAATCCTTTTGACCGTCAGTATGGTATGAACATTAAATAACTGAAATATATGAATCTTTTATCTTATTTAATTATTATCTATAATTTGAATCATATACTGGAAAATTAAAAATTAATACATGGGTCTATTCAAAATGAAGAAATCGTATCGTTGTCTATTGACTACAACAGCACCTATTAGCTATTTGTAATGTTTATAAATGAAATTTGTATTGTCATCAGCAGTACAATGTATTCAAGCTCTTATTATAAGTAAGGAATACCGACCGCCAGTGATAACAATAACGGAACATTATAAGAGGCAAAAACAAAAGAAAACTGACTTTATTGTATCGCTACACTCATAGTAGGCAAAACCAGAGAAAATAAACAATGGTCATTATTATAGGGCAAATGAAAAGAAAAGAATCTATTAGTTAAAAGACAATATGAATGGTCTGAACAGAACAATGGAGAGAAAACGTCACACCATCGAAAAACACAGTATTCACACAGTGGTAAAAGCAAGGGATTCGAAGGACTTAAAATATTTTAGGATTGAATTAAACCTTGAAAGAAATTCGTTTCTAGGATAACCTAGTTGCACAAACGATCATTACGGTTTAACGACGACTTTAAACTCAAATCAATATTCTAAATTTGAAAATTTGTATCGGTAAATGTTCCTGTCTATCTTATTGCGTGAGGTAAATAGGAAAAAATAGTGCGATATGGCGGCAAACATTTTATAATTATTTGATACCTACTATGTACCGGTTGCTGTAAAACTGCTGCATAATTTTCTAGTTTTTTTTTTTTATATAATTTTTTTGTTACAAAATGACTCTTATAGTTTATAATTGTTTCATATAAAAGGTTTAATAAGAACAAGAAATGTATAAAATCGTGAGCTTTAGGTGAAACTAATTTTATTTAATCTTGAAAGTTTTATAAAGTATTTATTTTTATTTATGATAGAACCTTTAAAAATATGAAATAGTTTCGTCATTTTTAATTACACTTTATAAAAGCAGTTGAAAAGTTAGTGATGTTGGGTGTGCACGCTCTCTTAATAAGTCGCCGTTATGAAATAAAATTTGTTTTTTTTTCACTTCTTGATTCCGTGGTATGCGATGATTGTAAATCTACTTTATTCAAGAAACAATGCCTATAATATGCCAGATTACAATTATAGATAAGTACAGTCGTTTATTTTATTCAAGCAATTTAACGCCCACTTGTGTTATTTTTGTACAAAAAATCATTACAAAAGAAATTAGCAACAAAGAAACAAATTTTATGAAGATTTACACAAAATATCAAGGTCAAATTGTATTGAGCTTGTTGATTAGACGTGTGTAAATCTTTACTGAATCAACTCAGTGAGTTAAGCAAAATGATACACTGATCCAAATCTCAAAGTTTGCTCCGAATGGATCAATAGAACAGTGGCGCTCACTGACATGAATCAACGAAAGAATGAACTGAGCAGAAATGAGTGTTGGTAACAAATAAGCACATTTTTCGCCAACTAAATCTATATTGATATACTTGAATTTTGTTTTGAAATCATATATTATGATCAAGGTTTAGAATGCAAAAACCGTAAGTTGCATTAAGCATGTATGTGTATCAAACAAACTAAAAGAAAATTACGAATATACTATAAATAGTTGTTCTTGTAGTGCAAATTGTCAGTCTTAAGCTAGAACAAAGTATGAAGAAGAATCGATTCGATTTTAAGTGTATTTGGCAACTTCTAAAAAATAAAGTGTTATATTGCTTTATCTTGGTACGAGAATTTTTAAATAAACATTCCATATCAAAGAACAACGAAAAGCATTAGGTAATTTTTAAATATATTCATAACACGATTGAGTACTTGCTCTCTGCTCTTGAATTTATCTGAGCATCTATGATCCAAATGAAGCATTAATCGATTCGGATATTTGCACTCATTCAGATGCAAATGATCTTTACAAAGATACGTTTTCACAGTACTATTGCTGATGATGTTTTTATATCGGAATAATTTTAAAATGAAGATGTGGCAATGGTTAGAGTTTTCATAGCGTTGATTTATTCCAAATATTGCAAATTTTGTTCTATAGTGATTATTTTGCTATCATTAGAACCATTTTTATTTTTATTTTATTTTAAAAAAGGCTTACCAACTAAATACATAAAAGACATACTATTCACTACATATCAATAATTTATATCATATATGTACTTAAATTATAGGTATGCACAACATTCTAATACATATAATACAATTTCAAGAAAACAATGAGAAAACTAGGAATTAAAAACTAAAAATACTCCTTGAACCTTGCAAAATAGTCTTTTTGAAATTAGCTAGACCCCCACAAAAAATGTCTATATTAGTACTCTTAAATATGTGATTAAATTTAGCCAACATTGAACAAATAGGTGAGGAACTGCCATAATTGTTTTTTTCATAAATTAATAGAAAAGGGTTTATAATTGTGTAGTCGAGCCGCAACTCTAGGAACTAATATATTAATTTGTGTTAAGAGAGACGGAACATCCACTCCATGGTTTAGTAATTTGTATACAAAAAATATTGACAGCGTTTCTTTACGTTTGCATTAATCAAGCTTTTTTATTATTAGCAATACCAAAACATAGGCTATTACTGTACACCGTAATTATAATATTTTTTAAACCGGTGACATCTTATTATACTTAAGATATGTCACATAATTACAGTTAGTATGTCATTATCACCGATATCGCCACGATTATCGTTCTAATCGATCTATAGTGTTGATCTTGATACAGTCGATAACATTGTACTATGTACAAACAGATAATATTGTACATAGTAAATACTATTGATTGAAATAAGCAATAATATTCTAGAATAAATGACTAACGTTAAGGAAATTATGAAAAGGAATTCATAATATATAGATATTGCAACATTGCAATACTACAGGATTAAAATTGATAGAAATATTCAACAGTCTCACTCAGAATGATCTGATATTCTTCTGTATGTACTTGACGATTGTTACTACTTAATGTTACTACAACATTATCATTTACCCGCTTCAATTACATAATACAAAGCTCACTTTTTTCTCCATCCTCTTCAAATGTCTATTGTTTTTCCACCAAGTGACATCTGCCTCGGGGCGGGATCCAGTCGTCTTACATTCTATCTCATATCGCTTGTCAGCTGAAACTTGCTTTTCTTTCGTCAGTATAGTTACTGATATTGGCTTTACTGAAAAAGAAATAAATATATAGTAACGAATTTCACCTGCATCAATAACATTTATTTATTTTGACATGAACACAAATCGAAAGGTTTTAAGATTTAATTTGCCTATATAGCTGGGAACAGTTGCTTAACGTGACTGGAGGATCTCAAGTTTATAAATCCGTTGACCACGTTAGTAAAAAACTCACAAACAGCACTAAGCACTACTCCGTCATGGTCCTTTGTACAGAACAGATATATTCTTTTAGTGTTATCTGGTGTAATATTTCTATATCTCTCTGCTATTTTATAATAAATAGCTCATAATTTCGCTATATACGTATCTATTTACCATTTGTGTTTGTTAACATCCAATAAAGGTTCTATTAATATTATTCACTGTCTAAGTAATTACGAATCGCAAGAACTTTAAGGGTCTCAAGCTTATCATTGGAAGTAGTTTCTCCGCAGGGAGTAAGAAATTATTTCCTTCTCGAGGGAAATGGGGTTCCAACTTTATCTGACCCTATTCGTACAACAACTTAGCATGTACTTGTTTACAAGACTTCAAATGATCAAAGCAATAGTTCTTTAGTTACAGAACAAATTATTTATAGGTATGTAGTCGTGTACATCCATCTATACATACTGGGCTCACGTGTTGGATTATCCCCTGATTATCTTAATGTGAATTACTCATACTCACAGTTGATGTCTAAAATCAGTACTTTAGTTTCGGGTGGTGCAAGATTTGTATTTGATGCTTGACAGACCAATCTTGCATTTAAATGTTGTCTTCCAATGTTAGGGAAAGTAAGTGTGTTGATGGTGATGCCGTCTGTTCTTTGTTCAAAAGAGTCGTCTATCATTTCATTCTCTAGATACCATGTCACTCGTGGCCGTGGTCTCCCTAGAATTAGGAAATTAATAAAATTATCCTGGTAATGTTTTTCGAGAATCTTTGCTACAACTTTTGTATAACTCTGTATTAATACATGAGCATCAGCAAAACACTATTATTTGAACGGAGCACTTTTTCATGAATTAAACCTTTCACGTTTGTTCCTTATCTTGCACGCGTAACATGACGAACTCGAGAACGTTTTGTCCACACTCAAATGTCACTTTTCTCGGGTGCGCCCATACTATATCTCACTCTCAATACGAGAAACTGACAAATGACTACACACAAAGTCACACATTTGTAGATACTCGAGTTTGTCATGCTACGCGTGCTGTTCTCATTTCCACATTGTATATTTCCACAACTATGTATATTACATTTGTTTAAAAAAATATCTCTTTGTTTGGCGAAATGCTCGAAGAAAAAGATAGAGTACAGAAACAATTACAAACAATATGAAATAGGAATACTTTTTTTGTTAAAAATGCCCACTTAGATAGCAACGATTTCATATTTAGTGTAATTATAATATTGTGTTATGTGAAGAATATAGAGGATAATTATTTTTAAAAATATGATTTGTTAGAAAATAAACTACATATTTGTTTGATGTTTCAATTGGAGTATTTCAGTCAATTATATTTTATTTTTATACTAAATCATTACTAATATAAAGATGTTTTATTTTTTATCAAAATTTATGCTTACCTCCTTCTACTTCGCATATTAAATGTACATTAGATCCTTCATTATAAGGTTCTACTAAGTTAGCTCTGTCTTTCTTTTTGGCATCATATATCTTTGGACGATTTGGTGGAACTGCAAATAATAGAGAATTTTTATCTTAAGCATTTAACGTCTTCTTATTCTTCTAATTAGTCTGTGTTTATACTTTGTACTAAAGATGTAACGTATTTAGTTTGGAAATGCAAGGTTTAATAAAGTTACGCAAAGATCGGTACTCAGATGGGTGATCAAATATTTAGGGTATTGCTCTGCTTAGCTGTGGAAAAGTTAAGCCACTCCTGTTATTTTTGCAGTTGTTAATACTGTGTATGAGTGGCAGTCGCGAAATGGAGTTTTAAGAATTTGATAGGAAAGATATCACATAGCAAATTATGATTAAGTTAGTTACGGCAGATATGATACGAATATAAAATAAATGCAAAAGACATAAGAGCACTGAGGAGAACACGTTTTGTGGAAAAAGTTCATACGTGTAGACGAAGCGAGAGAAGTACGTCAGGACCACGCAAAATGGAAAGAGGTTGTCTCTGCCTATCTGCCGGCGTGATAAGGCGTGAGATAATAGATAGACGTAGATAAATATGATCTACTAACTTATAACTGTGAAATTGACTTTCAAGTTTCTAGTAGGCGAATTCTGAAAGTCGACCCTACATCTGTAGACCCCAGCGTCTGCGGCTTGTACATCATCTACCATGAGTACGGCTGGTGATGCTCCCCCTCTGAAGAATGCTCTGCTTCCAAAGACAGATGGAGAAGACCAAAGTTTCGGTTGAGTTATGGAGCGACCTCGTATGTCGTAGCTAAAAAACATAAAGTTATAATTATTTTTCACTTACAGCTAGCTACCATTTGTATTTTAGTAAGAGTTCAACCCATTATTTCCTTAAATATATCTCCTATTTTCATAAACCATTATATTTATCAAACCATATTATATAATGTAGCTCAGTGGCGTAGTGGATAAGCGCCGCGGCCCGCGATCGTTGTCGTTAAGCAACTTTCGCAAGGGTCGGTCATGGGACGGGTGACCAAAAAAATATTATCTCGAGCTCTCCTTCGGAAGGTATGTTAAGCAGTTGGTGCCGGCTGCATTTGCAATCGTTAATACCCTCCAATCCTCATTGGGCTGATCGTGAGGATTATATAATGAAATATTAAACCACAATGACAATTGAGAGACAAAATAGTCTATATTATAAGTGAAATGTTTTTGTAGCAGGTAGCTAATGATTTTTAAAGAATTTTAAATTAAGAGTAATAATAAATTATCAGGTGACGCAGTGGTCATATTACTGCGAGCATGATACGGTTAAATTTACGGTTAAATTAAATTTTATAACCACCAATCCGCACCAGGCTCCTTTGGTGAATCATGGTCAATCTACACTAAAAGCCTGTGCCCCAGCAGAGTAAGTAAATGGCTATTTATTTTATGCAACTAATATATTAAATTTTACCTGTACAATGGTTCTCCATCGGACTCTTTAAACCATAGCACCATCACGACTTTGTCGTCAGGATGCAATGGCTGGATATCGCAGGGCAGCGACGCCTTCTTGCCGAGTACGCCCTGCACATCCGACGTAGGCACTGTGAATAAAAGATATTAGTGAGCTATTTGATTCTTTAAATTTAAATAATTTTGAACTTTTGAGAGTTTCGTGAGAAAACTATGAGAGTATTTTTTGATATATCATGAATTTTATCGTATTTAGGCTTTGAGTAGCTGAATTAGTTAAGAAATCACTAGGATTGCGAAAGGTTTTGGATTCGATTTCCATTTCACGCAAACGGGCGCATTATTTAAGATTTATTTATATAATTATCAAAAGATATCAGAATGTATCCACGATAGATCGAACAAAAAAAGAAAGTAGAATGCATTAGTTAGATATATATAATACAAATAAATATTCATTTACAATTTATACCACTAAATTCCACTAACTTTGTTTTAAAAGTTAAATAAAATATATGTATTTGGAAAAATGTGTGTCGTCAGCTAGCGAAAGCGCTAGCTGACGATAAACGTGGAACCTTTAACAAATAAATCTTTAATCGTTGTTATCTTAAAACAAGTTAAATCGAATATTCCTATTTTCGAGCTTACACGTCACGAAAATCCTTGTTATTACAAGGCTTAGTCACGGATTACACCAAACATAGTTGAAGCACGAACCATTACAGGTACACCGTATTTTGAATCGCTCGTGTATATTCGACTATCATTCGACTTTTTAGTCGCCATGATGCTGTTGTTTAGTAATTTTAAATCATATTTCTATAATATATTTGATAGTACAAAGTGGAAAAAAAAAACAAGCAATGAGTAATCGTTGCTTGTTTTTCCGCCTATTATTGCTTGTTTCGAAATGAATACATTTTTGTTTGTTATATTAAAAATATATCAAATTCGAAAAACAAATTTTTGACTTATAATTGTGTTATATAAGTCAATACAATGATGTAATGACATCAACTTTCATTCACTCGTATTTCCATTCATCTAGTATAATTCATAATCTTATTGAAGTTAGTATAGAACGATGACAGCTAATCTCTTATATAAGTTACTTAAAATATTAGTCATATTACTCCAGTATAGTTTGCCTACAAAATAAAGTAAGCTTGTACGTTTTGAAATATTTTTTACTGTACATACTCATTTGCAGAAATATACGAATAAATGTATATATTAAATGATAGACACGAATCCCTTAGAAGGCAACAACCAGTTTTCTATACCTAACACCAAATGTATAACAACAACTCTTTAATCTATATCCTAAAACAAAATTACAATGTAAAAGAATAGTAACACAGTGGCTTTTAAGCTAATCATATAATGATACTGAAAAAAATCATAACTAAATAATATAAAATACATTACATACACACGCTCACACGCGCGCGCACACAAATAGATAACAAAAATTCGTTCTTACAATTATGCTTAAAGGTATTGTAATATTATACTAATTTATCTATTACGTAGAAGATGCTTAAATTTATTTTTTGTGCGATAACTGTCGAGGGTGGGGACCTGAAATTTAATATCGTAAATCAAAACTTTTTTACTACCATTCTCAGAAACAAAAACACTACTAGTAACTTGTTTTTATTTTTTAAAGATATAGTTAATTTATTAGTTTAATATTAAACTTCAAAAGAAACGCATTGAGATGATATTATTGTTTAAATAAACACTCATTACTCTAAACATAACAAACGTAATGGAATTAGCAATTGAAAACACTGGAGCAATTTGCGGAATGGCAGCATCAAAGAATAACGTTGAGTGAGTTTAAACATTCAAAAGTCGAACGATCTCAAATTAGGCAGCAACATAAAACCTTCAACTGAGCATAATGTTTAGGGTAAACTCTTCTAAAAGAAAACCACTGACCCATTTCGTCCACACTCAACTAAGGAAATGAGCAGTGAGAAAATTACCTACCAATATTTCTTTATAGCCACTCATGTTATTCGACAAAGCCCGTTGATTTATCGTTCGACCTCCCAGTCTTTTTATTTTATAATTTGCTTGATTCACTATGAAAGCGGAGCGACACGCGATTGTGGTAGGTGCACAGTGGTACATGTAATACTTGAATGGCAATCCACTGTAATATTAAGAAAAGTAGCTGTAAAAAAAATCCTATAAATAAATCTTCCACAGATTGAGTTGTATTGTATCGCTTGTATTAATAATATTTATAGTCATAAAGAAAAAAGACTGAAATAAAACTCATGTACCTACAGGACATTTTTTTGCATACGTTTTTCTGTATTATCTGATATAGATAAAACTTGAATAATATATATCATCAAAGAAATGTAAAGATGTTTTAAATAGAAATTCAAAATAATATATAAATATCTATAAGCATTTAATAGGGTTGTCGTTTTCTCAAATTGACGTTATAAAATGGCATATTGTTTTGTAAATGTCGTTACTGGAATAGGTAATTAATGCTACCAATTTGAGTAAAGCCATTTCTATCATGAAATATACTAACTGTAATTAAGGTATTCGATATATTCAAATTTGATTTCATACATTTGGCCCTTTATCTAAAGAGGAAAAAGTAGACATATAAACTAGATTGCAATTAATTTGAAAGGTTCGCTTTGTATTTTTATGATTTTTTATAATAAAAAATCATATCAAACTAACATTACGAAAACTGTCGAATCGATTGTAAGCCACAATATTTATTTTTGGATCACAATGGACACAAAAGTACGTCTCATATAGGATTGCGTGATCAATGAAAGAAACGCGTAGCTATATATTACGATCGACGTCGACTAAAAGGTCGTGGGATCTATCCCTGGCTTGTACGGTCAAAGTTATTGGATGTCATACAAAAGCTATATATCCAACTAGATTTGATGTACTATTACGAAAAAGAAATGGTTGACTTACATTATTTTTTAATGACTTATAACTGTCCACTCAATGTTAGATAAAAAGGAGTTTAAAAAATATTTTACAGTAATTAATAAAAATATTTTTATGACTTAATTTTCAAAATAGGTCTATTTGTTTTGGAACCTTCTTTCCTTTTTATAATATTAGTACAGATATCAAAAACATTAAATGTTTGTGAGAAAAAGTTTATCAATATGTTGGCTAATTGACAGATGAATTAGTTATACCGAATTTTATTTCCCTCATTTATAGTAATACACTCATGTAGAAACAAGGGCTAACCTTATAAGTCTCTTTTATATCATACGATTCTATGGCATACGATGAATAGAAAATTCCTGAACTTTGTAAAGGAACGCATTAATGGAGTAAGTAAAATATTATTTTTCGGCAAACAAAAGCAGTTTTTGTGTAGGCGATGGAAACCAGGAAATGCGAGCAAACAGAAACAAATAGCACAATGAACGTGAAACCATGGGTAATGATGTATAAAGAAATCATCCTTATATATTACACTTTAGAGTTTATTTTGGTTTTTCAAAGGTAAATTTTAGGTAAAAATAGCAACACCTACATGCTAGCCGATTACTTGTAGTTTTGTGTCGTTAATCCATGATTGTTTAAGAACACGCAACGATTTAGTATTACGTTGTACGTTTTATCAATTATACAGTCAAAATAATAGCTATAAATACAATAGAACAGAACATTGCTAATTAAGATGCATTAAAGACTGTAATGGAAATATTCAATATTACAAAGTATTTTTTTTTACTTTATACACCAAAGAAAATATTTAACACTTTAATAAGACTAAGCCACGAAGAAAACCATGAACACATGTGCTACGAAAGAACTCATACATAAATATGAATTTAAATAGACCGGCAATAATTAAAATCAAACTAAATAACCAAACAACATACATTTCAGGTATTGTATTCAGTCACCAATCATATCCATAAAATGAGGTTGGAATAATCTTTTTGAATTTTTAGGATGTATGTATACACTGTATTAGATCCGGGTATAGTTTGTTGATTATCCGAGGTGCAATATCCAGCAGGGTAATAAGGCTCACATTTAAAATTTCGCGGCAAATATTATCGCACGCTCGTAGCGTCTAGTATTGATAAAACAAATTATAAGATTTAGTTATCGTACTACAGCCGAATGTAACGACTGTTCAGGAACATAATGAAAAGAAGTATAACAATATAAACTATAATATTTTAGATTCACGTCCGCGGCAATACACAAAATCAAAATAAAATTTATCACGAAACCATTACTGATTCTAAGAAATACTAGGTCAAAAGAATGTTTTAATTCTATTTCACTAATATTACTTAACCAAGTTATCGATTTCTATCGGAAAGTTACTGCAGTCTAATATTAAAATTTTAATTCCAAAGTGACTATTTAAAACTTCGTCTGTGGGAATTTAAAATTAAATGTGTCTTTACGATGTACCTAATTCCTAATAATCTTCTTTTATCGCAAATATTAAAAATCGAGTGTTCTTGTAGTTCCAGTAAAATTTTGGGAAAATGAACGTTGCTTTGAAGATATGATAGTTCGAGATAAGTGTAATCATTATTTATCTAAAAGGTTTAGTTTATCAATAAAGAATAATAATGATTATAAACATTAACAAACTAAAAGAAACGGTGCGTCGTACCACACCATTTATTTCGTCCTAAGTTCATCCAAACTTTTTGTCTATGATCTCTGACATACTTTCTTTTTTATTATTAACTTTTCGTAATTTGAAATTTTGCGTAACGCGGTATGCTCTTTCTGAATGTCAGTTCGCGAAGATTCATCCAGTGACAACACGGCATCAATTTGTGATACCAAAAAGTGTTAGAATTTATCAAAATACATTTATTATTGTTAGTTCTGTTATTTTCACGTATAATAAATCAATCAAGAAATTTGTAAACATATTACTAAAGTTCTATCTATTCTACAATCCGAGGAAGGGTTTTTTATTTACACTATAAAATATATCAAATTAGCTTAGTCAGCCTTTCATTTACCTAAGTACCGAACCCGTCACAGTTTCTTAATGATAATAGTAGATAAAGGAGTACACGTGCTCAAGTAGTAAGTACCTACTACGCTTGTTTCACTTTACAGCATTAGTAATCTGAGTAGTTGTACTAACCACTTGGCTTCTGGAATTTATTTAAATGATCGTTGCATGATTACAAATTATTCTATAAAAAGGTCAAGTGAAAAGACACCGTTATCTAACTCATTAATTATAATGTAGGCGTTACAAGAGACGTATCAATGAAGAAGAGGGATAATATATTAGTTTATTGTCATTGTAACATGAGCCATAAAGAATGTATCACTGTCTTCAACATCGTGAATTATTAAAGTAATGCTGTTATGATTATTTCTGTCGTTTGAAGTTTTTTTATTATTATTTCAATAAATAAAGCTAGGTCTTATTGTATTGTCCAATAACCTCTTGTATATCATATAAAAATTCGATTACTCTCTATGTGCTAAAATCTTTTTTTGTTTTTTATGATAAAGTATACCTTATTTCAACATCATAATATTACAACATTTGTGGTTCATAGTAATCTGTTGTAGTCCTATTCATAGCGAAGATTGATATCCTGGTTGTGTTTTTGAGAGATTTAAGATATAGCCAATTTTACAACACATCCGAATGTTCGTCATTATCTATGAAATGTTACTTACCATTAATTCTTTACTTTGTTTTTGATACGTAACTACAGGGTAACACATTTCATGTGAGCTAGTAATACCTATACAGATATGATGTCTAATTA